ATTCCCCAGCCAGCCGGCTGGGGGATTCTGGGGGGGGAAGTCCACTCATCTTAAAGTGGCCCAGGGTGGACAACACTGTTCTGGAGGAACCCAAAGCTTTTCCAAAAGGGGTTGGGGTGTTGATGCCAGGGATTGGGGGGTGGGTCCGTATTGTCTGTTTTATCATTTACGATTATGTGATTACGTTTTGCCTCATTTTGTGAGCCACCAAGAGTCTATTTATGGTTGTGGCAGGATCAAAATGTGATTGATTGATTGATTGATTGATTGATTGATTGATCCAGGGGTTGATGGCGATGGGATATAAATTGGGTACAGAAATAAAAAATAAAATCAGTAGTCATGGGATCTGAGCCCTGACATGGTCATACTATTGCTGGTGTATTTGCACATCACACGTTCTGTGAATATAGCATTTGGGTTTCAGCAACCTGAGGTTAACATTTGAGCATCTTCAACGAACCCCGTCTTTGTGCTGAATTTCACTGCAGTAAATCGGCATTACAAAACACCCCCACCTTCGCACGCACTTCTGTTCAGCGGGGTTTTTCATGGTCCAAGTCTGTTTTATAGACCTCTGCCAGCTGGTAGTATATAACCCTGTTTAATCAGCCTGTTATCTATAGCTGTGTAGAGTCCCCAAACCAGGAGCGGAGGTTCAACAGAGAACCGGTCGTGGCAGCAAAGAATTGCAAAGACCCGAGTTTGCAGAGACAATAGCTTCCAGCAGAAATGCACTGGGGTCTTTGCAAAACTGGTCAAGGGGAAAGGATTTTAAATAGAACGGCGGCTCTGCAGGAAGAGTGGAAAGAAGACCAAACCACCCAAAACTGCTTGTCGTTGATTGACATCTGGTCGACCAGAAGCCTCAACCTTGGGTCTTGGAACGAGTGATAAAATCCAAGCGTCTCAGCTGCCTTTGCAATGGGGGATTTTTCCTGCTGTTTGCCTAGTGCAAACAGGAGAAAGCTGGCAGGGCACTAGGAAAAGGATAAGCGTGCCATGAGTGATTTAGTATCTTTAAAGGCTTGGGTGATCCCAACACGCTCGCACATCATCCACATCGGCCTGGCCAAAAGTGAGTTGCCCCAGCTCTCCTTAAATCCCTCCTTGTGCCCGTCAATCACCATCTGCTACAGGCAGATAACTCTGTTGTGGTTCTGCATCAGATGCGGTTGGACCAGTGGCTGATGACGGAGGCCAGAAGGTAATCCTGATTTGTAGACAGCACAAAGCATTTCTTGAAACAAAGGCAGGGTTCCCCCATCTATTCCCCACTTCAGTTCTCCCCACCCCCCTCCTTGCCCCCAATCATCCAGGTTTACTTTCAGGGGTGAGAGGGGACGGTTGGAGAGGGTCTCCAGTTTCCCCTGGCCAAGAGCTGTGCATTTTGGATAGCCGAGTGCCCTTTGAGAAATCCCCTTCCAAAGTCCCAGGGTCCATCTTGGCCGGGGCCTCCCCTCCCTGTCTTGACAGCCAGTGCCCTGCTTAAAACCCTCCACCCCTGGGCTGGCAGAATCCTTGGCAGCTCAGCAGTGACTTTTGAATACGCCCCTCCCCTGTTGGGACTTTCCAACAGGTTTTGCTGGTGCATAACTTGAATATCTGAACTGCTTTCATCCCCGCCGCTGCCCCAAGGGGGAGGATTAGATTTCCTCCTGGCCTTCGGTTTGCTGCTCCTTCCTTCCGCTACCTGGTGACACCTGCCTTCCGGCCCTGCCTTTCCCTTGGCACTCGTTGTGAGCCCTTCTCCGATCTCCGTGGCCTTCCGTGCCTCAACGTCCTCCCTCTCTGAGCCAAGCTGGCATGGCTTACTGGCATCCGGGCGTCCGTTGTCCTTCCAGCCTGGCCATCTGTCTGCTCTTGCTGCTGGGTGAGTTTAGGAAATGGGCTCCAGGGTTTCTTTCCCTCCCCCACCAGCTGGCCTGATCCTGCTGACTCCTGGCAGAATCTGAGCTGTGTGATGGGAACAAGCGAGGCTCTGTCTGGAGGTGTGGACCCCATGACTAAGGGGTGCAGGGCTGAACCTCGACTGACCCGGCTTGGATCAAGAATTGAAATACCAGGAAGGTGCGGGGCTGGTCCTGCTACAAGAGCAGCAATTTGGGGCAATAAGGATGGATTTGATCAGGAGGAGGCTGGGCTGTAGAAGCTGTTGAAGATGTACCTGTGCAAAACACCCCCCCCCTTAAAGGAGCCCTACCACAGGTGGGCTGTTAGGGGCCACCAAATCCTTTCGATTGCCACACCCTGCTAGGAACCACGGGAGTGGAAGAGCAGATCTTTGAGTATTTTAATCCAGGTCAGATTTGTTTGGGAGAGTCATTTTCAGCACATCCACCACAGCAACGTAAGACCCTCCAGGTTGCCCCATTTTTCTTACAAGGGTATTTGCGCAGCAGGATTGGCTGTTGTGGTCAGAAACGCGGTGCGCTACTCAACAGCACTGCACAAGCTGCCTCACCTAGGACTGATCCGCTTTGAGGAGGAAGCTGCGTTGGAGGAAACAAAAACCTTGCTGACTTTTCAGCTTCACCCACACGAGCTCTTACGGTATTTCCCCTCTAAATTAGGAAATTCTGTCTCGGAAAAGGCCGGGTTGTACTTGTTCTGAGTGATGGTTTGAAAGGTTTAGTTGCTGCCTGAAATGCTGTGTTTTAAGTCTCTCCCCTTCGATCCATTTTTGAACTGAGGAAGGGGTGTGTGTGTGGGGTGTGTGTTTATGCACTCGTGCAAGTGCTATGGTTCTCTGTGTGTTGTTCTGAGGTTATAGGCATTTGCCAGAGGTTGCTGGCACTCTGTCTTTCTCTCTTTTCGATAATCAGGAGAACAGGTTGGAAAGCAAAGCTTCACCCAACATGCTTCACCTGACCATTGAGTTAACCGAAATGCAAGCTACCCGAACAGACTGAGCTTACCCAATGAGCAAAAGCCACAAAAGGAACTGACCAAGGTTAACACTAACCAAGCTTAAAATGTGCAGCTCGACCTGCTCCCTCTTGGGCTTAAGCTGGCTAGGATATGGTGTGATGAGAACCATAGAGGAATTTCGACTCTGGGGAAGATGCCAGGGTGGTAGCGGAGACCCACAGCGCAGTATGTGCTGTACCGCTGAACTATGGCCCCCATGAGATGAAAGCTGGAGAGCAGATCTTTGAGTATTTTAATCCAGGTCAGATTTGTTTGGGAGAGCCATTTTCAGCATCTGTCATGTTGGCCAAAAGGGACTTTAGGCTTCATAGGCATCTGGTATAAGGGACAATGATGCCATATGCATCATGATGTCACATACATGCCCACACCCAAAATGCCCGTGTCAGATTATCTGGAAGTTAGCAGAGAAATGCTGATATTGATGACAGTGTTTCTGACTGTCTAAATCAGAATCTATGTCAGCCATAAAAGAACCACATATAAGCCGTATTGCTCTCAGTCTCTGATCCTGGTTAGCAAAAGGAGCCGTACGGTACCAGCAGACCTAACTAATCGGTAAGCGCGAAAAACTGTG